AAAAAAAAAAAAAGGCCATTGCAAAATCAATCATGATTGATCATATGCTCTCTATGATAGGATCATATCTATCTGTCTTCAAGGAAATCCAATCAATACAAGTATTAATCAAAGTTATGCACCAACCACATAAGCTAGTGATGAAGAAATTAAAGAATTCTACCCATTATTTTGGTCCAAAATTGATCAAACATGCCATCAAGATGTATTGATAATTATTGATAATGGCGTTTGGAATGTAAAAGTTTGAAACAAAGAGGAAAGAATATTAGAAATGATGGTCTTGGTGATGGAAATGAACCTGGAGATTGCATGACAGAATTCTGCAAAACCAATCACCTGTTTATAGCAAATACCTTTGTCAACAACACAAAAGGCAACTAACTATACACTTGGACTTCCCCGGATGGAATGCACGGAAATCAAGTTGACTACATCTGAGGAACGAGATGCTGGAGAAGCTCAATATCACCAAATAAACCAGGCCAGAGGTTGATACTGTCGACAGCTCAGATGTAAGTTCAGGATAAAGCTGAACAAAGTTAAAACAAATCCATGAGAGCCAAAATATGACCTTGAGTCTATCCCACCTGAATTGTGAGAACACCGACTCACTGAACACTAAGGACAGAAGACCTGCTGAGCTGTGGGAGGGCATCAAGAACATCATTTAGAAGGAAAACAAAGGTCATGAAAAAGTCAGGGAAGACAAAGCGGATGTCAAAAGAAACTCTTAAATACCGAGTAGGTAAAGCAAATGTAGGAAAGGCTGAAATCAAGGAGCTGAATAGGAAATTGCAAAGGGCGGCTCAAGAAAAGAAAGCCAAATATAATCATTAAATGGACAAAGACCTCGAATAAGAAAACCCAAAGAGAAAAACATGTTCAGCATATCTGAAACTGAAAGAACTCAAGAAAAAAGTTCAAGACTTAAGTTGCAATATTGACTCTATGGGCAAACTATTGAATGACACAGGAAGCTTCGAAAGAAGATGGAAAGAATACACAGAGTCACTATCCCCAAAAGAACTGGTCTACGTTCCTCCACTTCAGGAGGTAGCATATGAACAAGCTGAAAGTAGTTCAAGCTGCAATGAAAGCATTAGCCAAAATGAGGCTTCAGGAATTGATGGAATACCAATTGAAGTGTTTCAACAAACTGATGAAGTCTTGGAAGTACTTTCTTGTCCATGCTGAGAAATTCTGAAGGCAGCTCTTTGGTCAATTGATTGAAATAGACCCATATTTGTACCATTTCCAAAGAAGGGTGACCCAACAGAATGCTGCAATTATAGAACAATATCACTTATATCACATGCCAGTAAATTTTTACTGAAAATCATCCAACAATGGGTGTAGCAGTACATTGACAGGGAGCTGCCAGAGATTCAGGCTGGATTCAAAAGAGGACATGAAACAAAGGCTATCATTGCTTATGTCACACGGATTTTCACGGAAACCAGATACTATCAGAAAGATGTGTATTTCTGTTTTACTGAGTATGCCAAAGCATTGGACTGGATCATACAAACCTTGAGAAGAATACTTCATTGTGCTCATGAGAAACTTGTACATAGATCATGAAAGAGTTGTGCAAAGCACACAAAGGATGGCTACCTGGTTTAAAATCGGGAAAAGTGTGCAACAACAGAGTTGTATCACCTCACCATTCTTATCAAGTCTGTATGCTGAGCGAATCATCAGAGAAGCTGGATTGTATGAAGAGTGTGGCATCAAGATGGGAGGAAGGCTTCTTAACAACCTGTGATATGCAGATGGCACAACCTTGAATGCTAGAAGTGAGCACTTGCTGATAGAGTAAGGATTTCAGCCTTCAGTATGGATTTTGACTCAATGGAAAGACCAAAATCCTCACATTTGGACCTAAAGAGAACATCAGGAGAAATGGAGAAAAAGTTGAAATGGTCAAAGATTTTATCTTGATTGGATCCACAATCAGTGCTCATGGAAGCAGCAGCCACAAGATCAAAAGATGCTGCACAGGACCTCGTTAGAGTACTGAAATCAACGATGTTACTTTGAGGACCAATGTGAACGTGATCCAAGCCAACGGCATTTTCCATCGGCTCATATGCATGTGAAAGTTGGTCACGGAATAAATGAAACTGAAGAATCAATGCATTTGAATTGCAGTGCTGGCGAAGTTTATCTAAAGTACTATGGACTGCTAAAAGGACAAATCGATTGGTCTTGAAAGAAGTAAGGCCAGAGTGTCCCTTAGAGGCAAGGATGGCAAGACTTTGTCTTTGGACATGTTGTCAGGAGAGACCTGTCCCCTGAGAAGGATCGCATGCTTGGTAACGTGGAGAGGAAAAAGGAGGAAGGCTCCTGAGGAGATGGATTGACAGTGAGGCTGAAATGATAGGCTCAAGCATGGGAGCCGTTGGGACGGTGGCTCGGTCGCTGTGGGTCAGTACTGACTCCACGGCACCTCGCAACAACAACATATCCTTCGCCATGTGTGATTTTTAATAGGTATCTGAATTTCTCTGGTATCTAATTCCTGAAACTGCAATTAAGAGAGTTGAACAAGGTTAATTGAAAGCAATTAGCTTCAAAAATCTGTGGCTTCTTATATATGGCAGTCAGGGATCATGTGCAGAAAATCAATCCCCCACAGAGGAAGCGCACACAATGAAACGATCATCTTACCTGCGGCAACCACCTTGAATTTCTTCAGCAGCCGAATGTGGGTGTCTGGTTTAATAGCATATCTCCCCAAATCTGTGCAGCCACAGTCCTCTAGAAGAGTGAAGTAATACAGAAGTCTTTCATGATCTAACCCACCAATAGTGGGGTAAATGTATTTGACCATGTGCTTCTGAAACGCTTCAGGATCAGTTTTCAAAGTCTCAAAAAGATGCAGGGCTTGGGCTCGATTTTCGATCTCCACTGTAGACAAACTAAAATTGAAAGACAGAGTGTTACTGAAAACCTTTTTTTTTTAAAAAGGGGGTGGGGGTGGTGAAATTAGGAAACAAAGAAACTGTGTTAAAATTTGATTCCTTTATTAGTCAGAGTTTTTCTTTTCCTTTTTAAAACTAGAAATAAAGGTACTTCTTAAAGGTAAGTCCCTTCTGCCTCCCTAATCAAGGATAATAAGCCAGGGCCTAGGCAGGGCATAAATAAAGGCGAAATGCTACTGTGATACTCTCTGGAGCCCTGGTAGTGTAACGATTACACATGGGGCTGCCATCCTCACACTCAACACCCCCAGCTGCTCAGCATGAGGAAGCTTTATCCTTCTGTTAAAAGTCAGTTTTGGAAATCCACAGGGGCAGTTCTCCTCTGTCCTATAGGGTGGCCACGAGTCAGATTTGACTCTATGGCAGTGCATTTTTTGGTTATTAAACTATCCATGCTACCTTTGGTAGGATGAGAAGCCTTGTGAGTACGCATCATTTTATTTCTAACACATGGAACAATAGTTTGGGGAGATCTGTTCACTGCTCCAGAGACAGGGTCTGAACCATGATGTATCCGTCTTTCACTCCCTCATTCATTCACTGCCACTGAGTTGATTCTGACTCATAGAAATTTTATCCCTATAACACTGAGAATGACGTTTTCGTAATATTTAACTAAACCATATCTGGAACAGAAATTATGACGCTTTTGTACCCGACGACGATGTCGACGAAATCATCTCACTGTACTAGTTATGCATTTTAGCGGCACACTGCTTGAATCGTGGCACGTTTTGACTGATTGAAGTTTGAGGCTAAGTGCTCATTGGCGTTCAGTGCATTGTATGATAATTTTCAATCTAGTGAAGTTTTAGTGTTGCTATTTTTAGTATATGTTCTAAAACTGTAGTTTTTTATGTCAAAGGTGTAATACTCATTTTAAAAATTATATTTACTATATATTTCCACTTTTTCAAAATGTAACGACTTCGTTACATTCGTCTTTTGAATCGATGGTGACAAAAATTACCACAGCATGGATTGTGATTTGTTTTATGGAAACGGCGAGTTTATGACCTAGATGGAAGCAGTACAGACCCAGACAAGGAACCAGATGCTAATATGGATGAAATTAGTAAATAAAATGTGCATTATATTTAAAATTTTTTATTTTATAATATAAAATTTTAATTATATTGTTATTCAAACTATGTTGATAACAATATTTATTTTTTCCCATGATAGGAAGTGAATATAAGCCCGATTATTTGAATTTGGATGAATTAGAAGACCTTGTAGTTAGTAATGATAATACTAGTGAAGATGAGTTAGAAACTTCAGTTGCCCCACTCCCACTACCATGACATGAATTCGATCTTGCAAATCTGGCTAGACCAGAGTAGGTACACTGGTACAGATAGGAACTGGAAATACAGGGAATCCAGGACGGATGAGCCCTATAGGACCAGTGGTGTGAGTGGCAAAACAGGGAGGGTAAAGGGAGAATGGGTAGGAAAGAGGGAACCGATTACATGGAACTGTGTGTGACCTCCGCCCTGGGGGACAGACAACCGAAAAGTGGATGAAGGGAGACGTCGGACAGGGCAAGATATGACAAAATACCCATTTATAAACTATCAAGGGCTCATGCGGGAGGGGGGAGCGGGGAGGGAGGGGAAAAATGAGGACCTAATGTCGGGGGTTTAAATGGAGAGAAAATGTTTTGAGAAACGATGTACAAATGCGCTTTACACAATTGATGTGTGTATGGATTGGGATACAGTTGTATGAGCCCCTAATAAATGTTAAAAAAAAAAAAAGAAAAATAAACCAGTTGTTGAAGTTGAAGAATCAGTTCCAATAACTACAAGTTCAAAGCCATCTACATCAAGAAATCAAAGAATTCCTCTTTGGCGGCACATTTCTGGAGACGATACAGCTAGACCTGTGCCTGAATGGTTAGGACAATAGATTCTTCTGCGGTAGTAAAACGTCCTGTTGAATATTTTAGACATTTTTTCTCAAAGGATTTCATAACTCATATTGTCGACCAATCAAATTTTTATGCAATCCAGCAAAATCTCAATAAACCTCTTGCACTGAGTAGCCAGGAACTTGAGCAATTTTGGGGTACACTGCTTGATTTCATAGATTCGCTAATTGCACTGTACAGCATTCACATCAGATCGAAAAAATATTATCACAAATTATTTTTTCATTTTACAGATGTGACTGTTGTGAACTCTTGGCTACTTTATCATAAAGGCTGTGAGCCTTCAGTTATAAAGGAAAAAAAATCCAAAGTCTGCAAGAGTTCAAAATGAGCATTGCCGAAGCTCTTCTTCCTGAAGGAAAAAGTAATAGACCAACAAAAAGAGGCAGACCTTCTACGTGCTTTACTGATGTTGAGTTTGCTGACAAAAATAGAAGAAGTCCTGTCACCAAAAGTATCCCTGGAAGAGATACCCGTTTGGATGGACTTCACCATTGCCCTGAGGTCCCAAACAGAGGAAGATGCAAAAATGTACATTGCAAGAGTGCTCTAGTATTTTTCTGCAGAAAATGCAAAGTTCATCTTTGTACCACAAAAGAAAAAATTGTTTTGTTCAATTTCACACTAACTAAAATTATAAACAAATAAATTTTGTATTATATGTTAGAAATAATAAGCTATCAGTTTGGTTTTTTATTTAATAATAAAATAAGATAAAAATAATATAGAAACGAAGGCACATTTTTTATTCTTGTATTATAAATCCATGGATGAATGTGATGATTTGGTTACACTTAAAAAACATTGCAAATTTTATATTTTTTAATATATTTTGGTTGTTATATACACTGATAACTATGAAAGTAAAGAATAAAAACAAAACAATTTTTTTCCTGAAATTAAAAAGACAGGCATTTCAAGGTTATAGGACAGAATAAAATTATCCCCACGTTTTTCTCAGACTGTAAATCTTTACGGATGGAGGAATTCTCAGCTTTCCGCCTCAAAGCAGCTAGCAGCTTTGAACTGCTGGGCTTGTCGGAATCAGTTCAGCACATAAGCCACGTTAGGCCATCAGGGCTCCTCTATATAGCATGTATTCACTCACACAACAGGAAAAGTCTAACCCGCACTTCCTGACAGAGTGTAAATGAACTTCACATCTCAGGAAGTTAGAAGATAGTGAGAGGCGGAAAGTCAAAGTTTTAAGCATAAGTTTCACAACCAAGAAGCTTTAATTGATATATCCAAAGGCCTATATTTTATATGGTGTGTGTATTTAAATAAAAGTAAAATAGGGGAGGGCAAACAACTATATTTTCACTTGAATTACCTAAATAATGTCACTTCAATTAAAAATATACATCTTGATACTTCTTGATTTGGACAGAATCAACTCAATGGCAGAGGGTTTGAGTCATTGAAAAGAAAACAATAATTTAAGGTTACCATGTATACGTGAGTATAAGCCGACCTCAGTATCAGCTGAGACACCTAATTTTATCACAAAAACTGCATTAAAATGTGCTGAAAAGCTTGGATTATACGTGAATAAATACGGTAAATTGTTGAAAAAACTGTCAGGTGTTTGTTTTTATTTCGTTTTTTTAAAGGTTTAATTTTCACTTTGGTGATATTTTCATTGGGAGAACAACGGTGCAATGGTGCAATGTAATCCAAATGCCTATTTGGATGGATTTCAAATTCTCTAATCTTAAAGAGTCCTGTAGGCAGTCCTCCATACTAATAGAAATGTCCACTTTGTAGAGTTATTAGAAGTAGCAACTAACGTAATTGTGGAAAATTTAAATATGGCTTCTGGCAGCATAAGAGTTAGATTTCCCATTTTTTAAAAAATTAACTTCTCAGTAATATAATTCTCTGTTTATTGGAATTAACACATTCAAAAAGTACCAAAAGACCTATGTTTTTGGTTTATGAAAATAAAGCTAATACATGGGGGTTTCAAAAGTCCATGTGAAATTCCATTATCTTTTAATTCCATTTCTCCACCAATTTTTTGAAGTACACTTGTAGAAATGAAAAATACAAATTTCCTCTAGTTCCTAAATGTTTCCTCCCCGCTCCCACTACCATGACTTGAATTCGATCTTGCAAGTCTGGCTAGACCAGAGGATGTACACTGGTACAGATAGGAACTGAAAATACAGGGAATCCAGGGCGGA